TTAATATTTTTTTATGATTTGATAATATAAACAAATCTATACTTAACTTTGACAAATAAAACAAATAAATACTTTAGTAAGTATTTAATGTATATACTAAATAGGAATATATTTGGTATAATCAAATACCAAATATAATCAAATAAGTCAAAGTGTACATTTTTATTTCGTCTTTGATTTTTTTATTATTAAAATCTTTTTATTATACTTACCTTTTTAAAATAAAATAAATAAATAAATCAATTAAATAAATATAATATTATAATACCAAAATAGTAACGGCATTTAATGCAGTTGACTTTTCTGGATAGTAAATATAGTAAATAGAATCTCCTTTTATATAAGTATAAATTGTATAATACGGAAATAGTAATGCAATAAATGTTGTTGACTTTTCTTTATACTAAATCTGGTAAATGGTATACCTTTTAATATAAGTATAGATTGTATATGACATATCTTTTGCATGTTAACGACACAAATTAATCCATTTATGAGGCCACTCTATAAAAATCGAAATACAAAAATAAAATTTTTGAAAAATGAAATAAATAATAAATATTGACAACTACTATTAAATCACATAATGAAGAATACTAACTCACTGTCGTGGAAAACTATTTCTAAACAACTTCGGTAAGAGGTATCAAACGTCATATTAAAACTGTTGCCGGAAGTTTCAAGATGATCCTTATATTTTCTTTTAAGATTATTGATTAGGCATAAAGGTTGATTTGTGACTTTATTTTTAACATGTGGATTTTATTTATTTATTTTTAATGAGTATTGCATTTCATTTGACTATGGATGTAAACTTATTTATAGATGAATTTTTTGTGCATATATTTTCACTTATTTTCATAAGTTAAAAATGTGGATTTACATGAATATAAGCTTATAACTTGATTTGATGTTTTTGCCGATTTTGGTGGAAATCAAATTATATCCCAAAAATATACCAAGACTTGGTTTTTTCTGATTTTGGTGGTTATAGAAATTAATACAATAATATTAGAAAAATTCTACAATTACATAATAAATGTACATAAAGGTAGACATAGATCCGACCCGACCCGGCCCGCCGGGCCGATGGGCTCGAAAATAATGACCCTGAACCGGCACGGATCTATACTCGTGCCGGGTTCGTGTCCGGGCCAGACTGGGTCCGTTACTTTTTTAAAAAACAATAGAAAAAAAAAAGAGGGTCATTGACCCGGCCCGACCCGGACCAGCCGGGTTGGGTCGTGAATATATGACCCTTACACGACCCATCTAAAATCTGAGCCGGTCCCAGACCCGTGGTCAACGGGTTTGACCGGGCCGGGTCAGTGTCGGGTCGGCGGTCCGGGCAGCCTTTTGGCCATGTCTACACACTTCTATGTACATCATTATGTACCTATATCATTTCTCATAATATTATATCCCTATCTCTTAAATATATGATTTTTTTTAAATGATAAAATTGAACGTCAGGAATCTGAGGTTCCCAAAATTTATGCCCTTATTTTTTAAAATTCTATATGTTAAAACTAACCATTTCGGATGATTAACAATTATAAAATTGTTGGGATTTTTGAATCCAACAATATATTGGGATATACTTGTTTTTTCATAAATCTACGTTTCTGATTGTTGAGATTTGGGATTTTCAATGTTAATCTGGGCTATACTCATTTTTCTTTTGAATGTACATAATAAAAAGGAAGTTTAGAATTATAAGAATTTTTTTTTTTGCCAAAACGATAGATGATATTATAAATCAAAATGCACAAATGTGCGAATACACAGCAGCCAACGACTGAATATACAGCAGTCAACAACTGAAAAAGTGGGAGGACAGGTCAGAAGACCGCCTAGAGACCCGACTAGCAACGCTAGAATAAAACTCGCAACTAAAACTAACCAACTAGAAAACGACTAAAACAACTAACAATAACTAAAAGGACCCCAATGGAGTAATACTCGAGTATCGGATCCCATTGGGATAATAAGGTGATACTCGGGTTCACAGGGGCCAAACGGCCCAAACCAAAAACACCAACAACAGCAACACAGACACGAACACAAAGAGAGCAACTAAGACGGAAAGACCTAAAAAACAAAACAAACAAGGCCCTTCCCCAACGGTAAAGCCGAACCAAGCACAATGCTCCGGCGAAATACGACCCATCCCATAGCTTGACCCAACCATCCGGAACGCTACTCCCGCCACTGCCTAATGCCTAGCAAGGACGAGTCCCAAACACCGGACCACTCCAAGGATGAAATCGACCCATAGCCAGAGGAGTATCGACCATCCCTCCACACTCCAGCTACCCGAGACCCGGCCAACACCACTGGCCTAGATTCGGGCTTGCCGGCATCCTGAAACCGCAACACCAGCGGAACAGAGACCCAAGGGCAAGAATCAATTCACCTCAACCACCGGCCGCCGCGACTCAGACGAGCCGAGCGCCAGGGCCACACCCAACCCACAGCCACGCACCACCTAGCAGCAGTCGAACCCAAAACGGAGGAGAAGACACCGAAACTGCCATCGACCACCAGCCTGAGCCTGAATCGACCAAAGGAAGTCGGCCATCCACCGTCGGGGCCGAGAATCGAACACACTCGGCAAAGGGGCCGTCGATCCCGCCGTCGTCGACCGAACAGGGACAGGGCACGGAGCCGTTGAACCCGCCGTTCGCGACCAAGGACACCCGAAATCCACCTATAAGGCCGAGGATGCCTGGATTGGAGCGTAATTGGAGTCGGGACGCGCAGCTATGGGCCATCCGCCGGCGAAGGGTGCGGCGACCCGCCGGGGAAGGCAACGCGGCGGAGGATCAGGCGGAAACGAGCGGAGGATTTGGGGATAGGGTTTTTTAGAGAGAGAATGCCTTTTTTCAAATCTAATTATTAACATTAGAATTATAAGAATCCCTTACAGTTTATCTCCTTATTTTCTAGATTACATTTGATTTTTTTTTATTCGCATGTCTAACTGCTTCTGATGGTTCAGATTTTAGAATCCCGGCTTTATTTTTATATACTCATTTTCTTTTAAATCAACGTTTAGATTTTAATGAATATCCCTTAAATTTTATCTATGTTTAACTTATTTCCGATTGTTGGGATTTAATGATCACAACAATATTATGGGATATACTCATTGTTTTATTCTAGATAATAAAAATGTAACAATGTCGATTTGATTTTAATTTTGGAGATTTTTAAGTAAATTTCAAATATTATATATGGTATCAAAAAGACCTCCGACCGGCTGGAATGAGCTAAGAAATTCCTGGAACTCGAACGGACCATCGGTTGATCGTCCTCGAATCTGCAGAACTCTCACACCGGAGGGGGTCTCCGGTGAAGAGCCTCCGATGTTTAAGTCAGTATATGCAGAAGATAAATTGCAGAGAAGAAAACTCTCTGAAATATGTTGAGTATATCAGAGAAGGTAATGAGTGTTTTGTCATACCTCACTCCCTTTTATAGGGAGAAGATACCTTGGAGCCCAAGTTGGGTGCGTGAGCTACTTTTGTTGTCAGAACTGTCAGAGCCGTATGGGCTGTCAGAGGTGATTACCATGCGTGGATCACTCGAGCGATGCCACGTGGTTTCACCTATGTGAGGGGTATGATGCCCCTAAGATTCTTTCTTATCTTTAAGCTCTCCTCATTAAGTGCCCTAATCACAGCCTCGACCTCCTTTGTCTTCGAGTAAAATGTCATCAACCACGAGCTCCAAGGACCTGTCCTTCTAGTCGATCGTTCGACCAGATCTTTCTTTCTTTCGACCTTTGACCATCATCTCTGAGGGCCTTCACTCGACCTCCTGGTGTTTCCTGAGCTTCTATACTTTCTTTGACCAGAGGGTCTCTCGACCCAAGCGATCTTCTCTTCCTCTTCGACCCGATGATCAGGCCGGTTCGATCTGGTTGCTTTACCGGTCTAGTCGACCAGGTATAGTTATCTCATTCAATATATTTATCGAAATTAGTTGTTAGGAAGGTTAGGATTATGAAATCTTAATAATTAATTCAATTTATTTTTGGTTTAATATGTGTTAAAATTTTTCAAATTTGTATGTATAACTCGTTTTCGAATAGTTTATGCGTATTTTTTTTATTCAAGAAAAAAAATCCAAATATTTTGAGGTTAACATTTTCATATTCTACACTTCTTAAACAATAATTAAATTTATTTTAATATAATTTTCGTGTTTAAACCAAAAAAAAAATACTTGGAAACTTGGTCGCGGAATTCTGATATCCAAAATTGTAAAAAAAAGCTATTAAAAAAAAAAGAAAAACTCAGCGATTTAAAAAATAATAAAATGCAAAATGAATAAGTAAGAACACATTTATCAAAAAGAAAAGAGTAACCAAAGGCCGATTAAAAAAGAATAACTCAGATTCAATTTAAAAACGCAAAAAAGGAATATAGAAAATATTAAAAAAAAATCAATTTGAACAAACTTAATATATATAGTAAATCATATAATTATGATAGAAATTGTATATACTATATTAACTAAATGCCAAACCTTTTTATATAGATATATAGATATAGATATAGATATTATTAATATTATTAAATAATATTATTTAATCATTCTTACACATCACATCAATTTTAATTAACTATTCATCCACACATAATCTTAAGTACCTATCATTTTCAATTATTTTCAATCATTTATCTCTTATTTTTACATCAAATCAATTTTAGTCATTTTATTTTAAATATTAATTTAATGCATTCTTAAAATCCCACTAACAACTAATCATACTAACTTTTTTCAAATAAACTCTAGTTAACACAAAAAACTAGAAAAAAAAAACTTTTTTTTTTCTAATTATTCTATAAACAAGCACGCCCTCAATAAACAAAAAAAAAAGGCTCAACTCAACCTCACTCATTTAAGCTCACCTCAACTCACTTGTCTTGCTATAAACCTGAAAATCTAAACGAAATATATAGAGAATATACATCCTAGAACAAGTTTAGTTCGGTTATTTCATTCAAAACCAATAAAAACAAAAAGTTGTTTGCGAACAAATTTGACTCAACTCGGTTATTAAACAAGCTCAATTAACTCATCTAAATAAAAAGGAATAAGTCGAGCTCAAACTTTCACGAGCTTCAACTAATAGCTCTAATTGATGGCACAAAAGAAAATGCCTTTTACCACTGTACTTAAACTCAATTCCTCTTGTTCCATATTAGTAAGTAGCAACCATAAGCCCCCACCTACAGTTTGCTAGATGTGACCAATAAAAGGTGCCTTTTAATCAAGTCTCCAAATGATAATAGAAAATGTATTAATATCTCAGCAATTTCTACACACAAAGCTTTAAGAAATGCATGTCACATTCACAAGCCAATACAGAAGGAAATGTAAAACTGAAATGCGTAGTTTATGCTTTGGACACCCAATCTCTCTCACATCTCAGTCTTTACTTTCATCTCTCCATTCGGTAGGCTACTTTGTGATTGTGCCAAACGTTTGGTCTCCTGCAAAAATTACAAAAAAGGTTCGGAGTTCATAAGTACAAAAATTGATGCACTTTCTTCTAGCTGGACTAAATAATCAACAAAGGATAGGCCAGAACAGATTTTTTTTTCCCACCATTAAAGGTGAAAAGCAAGAAATCAAGCATACATACATCAAGAAATCATATAATAGAGAGTTAGTTTCCCCAAGTGAAGCTATGAACTCAATCTGGAGCAACAGAAGTACATTTGACTAAACGTTCTAGAAACATTTTGATGTTAAACTGGTGCTGAATAGGGCAATGTGATCTCAGAGTGTGTTGAATGATTTAATCAATGGGACACCAATGAGGAAAGAAACAGTTTTGCAGTTGGCCTATTAAATTGTCCATTTACGGCCAAATGTGTTACTTACTGACAGATGCTGACCAATATCGACGAGGGAAAAAAGTGGTCTCCAAGTTTCTAATATTCTAACGTATCAGTCATTTAAGAGGGAAACAAAAATTAATATTTCTAAGGCACTTAAAAAAAGGATATTTGATGTAACATGTGTTCAATATTAGATGACCATACCACATATAATACACACTTGGCATCACTTATATAGAACAAAAATTATGTGATAGCCTCTGGAAGAGGTAAAAGGCTCATATAAAGCACAATACTCCATAACTCATAAAATCATTGGTGTTTATCAGTTTAACGCATTACTGAAATGGCTCTCGGTAGCTTTTCATTAATAAATGTAGCAAAAGCCAAAAGGACAACCTCAAACGTGCATGGTCTTGCAAAGAAAGCTTTGAACAATGATTGTCTGGACCATATCAATTTATCAGGTTTTTTACTTTTCTTCAACTGTATTATACTAATTATCATTCTCAAGATTGATATCTATAGTGCATTTCTCATGCAATCTATCTCACATTTGCAACATATTAATAATCTGAAAAAGTCATTTTATTCTCTTTCTTCCATTTTTTAAATTAGTTTGCCGATTAAAAGATAATCTTCCTTCAATATTCTTTTAAAACAAGACCCCCAAGTACATGGAATACATCAAGAGAGTTCTGTTATATGGGTTGAACTTTTACAAGTTTAGAGTATAGCTCTGAGTTTTCAAGAATCATAAGCCCGTTATGTTCATGCCTTCAGATCAAGTATAAAAACAAAACTCTCCATGCAAAGTCGTCTGATGACGTGACTTAATTGACCTAAAGATCTGTGATAATATAGCATGATAATGCATGCACAAAATAAATATAATCCATCAAAATATTGAAAAGATGAGGCACACAGATGCAAGGGTAGTGATCTTCCAACTTAGATACTCAATAAAATGTCAATACAACTCACAGCTGCAGATGCTGCACGAATCTCTCTATAAGCATCAACTTCATCAGGAAAAGCTTGCTCCAGTTCTTCAAGAAGATGTTTGCGCAAGCTCTGCAAGAAATAAAAGCATAAATTGATAAAAATCAACCAACTCAAATAAAACCAGCAAGCCTATCCATGTTCAATTTATGAAAGGCAAAATATAAGAAATCAGGATAATCAAATGGCCATATACATTAAATTGATTCGTGTACATACAGTTTGTTTTCATACATAATATATGTAGCGAAAACAAATGGAGTATCATAATCATAAATATAAAAAGGCGAAAATGTAGTTTAAAGACGATAGAAGTGCATTCATAAAGAAAACACAAACCTTGAAGGTATCTGTTTTCCCCTTTGTGATCTGATTCTTTGCAATACAACCATTCAACATATCCCGTGTGAATTCATCAGGGTTCTTCCCATCATCAATCAAACTGCACCCCAGATCATATATACATGAATAATAAATGGGGGAAACATTTTTCACAAAATTACATGATTAAGTAGCATTTATAGCTTCTACCTTCAAGAGAACACTTACTTAAGAACCTCCAAAGGAACCTGTATATTACACTTCTCTGCTAATCTTGTCATATTATCCAGCTCAAGTACCAGGTTATTCCTATATCCAAACAGAAAGACCTAATCAAAGATCCACCAAAAGAAAAAATGAACAGATGCAATCAAAATCATCGAAAACAACAGTCGAATTTGCAGGGTTGCTACTTCTCTACTACTTGAAAGTGGAAATTCTCCATTACCAAACAATAAGTAGCAAAACGATTGAAAAACTGAAAAAAGTTCAAACCCTAAACACAAAACAAGAGCATAATTCACCAAAAAAACAGAATGACTGGAAAATTAGTTACATGCGTTGCAGAAGGGGGAGTTGAGAGGCCACGTTGTAGGAGGATACGGTGAGGTACAGCTGGTGAAGGATGCCGAGAGTTTTCTGGATTGAATTTATAACTTGAGTCAAGTTCTGCTTGGGATCGTCGATTGAGGCCGCGGCAGTGGTTGCCGAGGAATCCATCGGCGATTGGTCGGTTGACTGTGAGGTCATGATGCTGTTGCTGCCGGCTGCCGCCTGTGAGGAATCCATGCTTCTCGAGCCAGAGGTGAGCTGGAGACTTCTATGGCGACGGTTTTCTAATTTCTATGTAACGCCTGTATTTGGGCAACACTCGAGTCTTAACATTATAGAACAAAGTTTAACACATAAGAAATATTGTTAAATAGTGTAGTAGAATTGTTATAAAATTATATGATTTTTTTTTTTTTACAATATGAATTTAATATTTTTTTATGATTTGATAATATAAACAAATCTATACTTAACTTTGACAAATAAAACAAATAAATACTTTAGAAAGTATTTAATGTATATACTAAATAGGAATATATTTGGTATAATCAAATACCAAATATAATCAAATAAGTCAAAGTGTACATTTTTATTTCGTCTTTGATTTTTTTATTATTAAAATCTTTTTATTATACTTACCTTTTTAAAATAAAATAAATAAATAAATCAATTAAATAAATATAATATTATAATACCAAAATAGTAACGGCATTTAATGCAGTTGACTTTTCTGGATAGTAAATATAGTAAATAGAATCTCCTTTTATATAAGTATAAATTGTATAATACGGAAATAGTAATGCAATAAATGCTGTTGACTTTTCTGGCTACTTAATTTAGTAAATAATACCCCCTTTAATATAAGTATAGATTATTTCATTTTCACACTTCTCATTAATTCATTAATTACGACATAATTATCATAAATCATTCCATCTGAACTTTTATCGTTAAAATGTATAGCGATCTGTTATGACCTTATTCCATTGATATTTCCATGAAACGTCCTTATCGCGTTCAATTTTTTGGTAACCACTCTATATCAATAACCGGATATTTGGTTAATGATAGCACACGTCTTTATTTCAAGGAGCGGATATTCTTTGACCTTTAATTAATCTGAACTGTTTGCCTTGACTTTGCAATTTTTTAAAACTCATTTTTTAAATATTTCGGCTTAAGATTCGAATTTCATTATACAAGTTATCGGATTGTTTGAATGAAAATGAATGAAAAGAACACCAAAAACAGGTAGCCTTATTCATATAACCAATCCTAAAATATTAGTTTGTTTACCAAAAAGAGACAAATCCTAGAAATTCTAAAATATTAGTTTGTTCACCAATCCTAAAATATTAGTTTGTTCACCAAAAATATTAGTTTGCTTTTTAGGATTTGTCTCTTTTGAAAATATTAGTTTGTGATAATGAGGAGTTACCAAATAATCAAACTTATAATGTTGTGTACAAAGAGGTTTTTAATAATATATGATTGTTACCAAACTTTTTATGATTCAACAATATTCCTATGTATTTTAATAATTTCAATTTCGATCCTAATGCACGTGAAGTTATATTAATCTTCCAAATTTTACATCCCGTGTATCGCACGGGTTACGTACTAGTTTTTGTTTAAAAACACCTATATCTGTTGAAAAAATACAATGGACTAACTTACCTTTTATTATAATATGAGTGTGTATTATTGTACATATATGCGATATATTTTCAATCGTCTTTCATGCTTGCATTTTCCAAAAGGCAACTGAAGAGTAAGCATTAATATAAAATTTATGAATTCCTCAGCATATTCATTACCGAGCTCATATATTTCTATTTGCTCTTTTTTATTTTTTTCATCAAGAAAAAATGAATTATTATAATTTTCCTATCTCAAGTGGAGGGCAAAAAAAGTAAAAGACAACCTTTATACAGCTGAGTTAAGATTCCAGCTTTCACATTGACACCTAATAAAATTGTGGGCACTGCACATTAATGAATAAATAAAAATGGAGAAATACCCAACAAACACACATATAATATACAAAATAAGAATTCACACACTTTTCCAGTTTTATTTATATATTTATTAATAATGGTTTACATATATTTTCTTTTTGGTACAATGTAATGGTTTACATATTTATCTAATCGAATATAATTTGCAGAATTATTTATGCCAAAAATAGCAGAAAACAAGAAAGAAAACAAGCAGGAAAAGGTTAATTTTTCGCACCCATCCCCTCTCTCCTTACAGAAAAACGCACAAGAACCGATTTTTCTGGTAGCGTTGAAACCCAGAGACGCCGGGATCTGCGAATTCTTGATGAGAAAATCCAATCCGACAACAGTTTTCTCGGCTAATGACTGAAATGTGAGCTTCTTTTCATTTCCTTTCCTTTTTCTTTTTAAAAAACAGTTTCTTGTTGATTTTCATGAGTTGATAATTGACCATTTAATCTGGTTTGGCGGTGTTCTCTGTCAATCCACATTGTGCCTAATGTTATCCTTCAATCTTGAAAGTTTTTATTTTTTTTATCTTTTGTCTTTTCTCAAATTTTTGCCTTTTTTTTTGTTCTGATGTGATGTTCTTCGATTCGCCGTGTGCTGTAATGTGAGATAATATTAATATCATATCACATCTTTAGGGTATTCGCGGATTGTGGAGTGAATGTGTTGATTTCTTTGTGATGCTAATTTTTCCCATTTTTATGTGGAATTTCATTTGATTTGTATTGATTGTATTCAGTAGATTGAAGATAACAGCAAAAGGCAAAGATTGATTCGGTGGAAGGGTTTGCCTTTTCGAATCTTGGGAAAAGAAATATTAAAAAAAAGAAAATAAATACCAACCTAATACATTTGCAATCTTGGGATTGAGGCTGGGGCAAGAAATTATGTCTAAAAGTGGTGACCATCACACGGTCCCATTGTCGGTTTTGTTAAAGCGGGAGTTGGCCAATGAGAAGATCGAGAGGCCGGAAATTTTGCACGGCCAGGCCAGTCAGAGCAAAAAGGGCGAGGATTTTACGTTTGTCAAGACTGAATGTCAACGGGTATTGGGTGATGGAGTCGCAACATTTTCTGTATTCGCGGTATGAGAATGTTTTTTTTATTTTTTTTTTTAAATTTTTCGTTGTTGCATTAATGACTTGTTTTGTATGTGTTTATAGAAACATCAGTATATGTTTGAGATATCACATAATCTTATTTCTTAAAAATGTCATACTTTGTCTTGTTTTTGACTAGACAATGATACCCCCAAACCCTTTTGTTAATGTTTGTGTTATGATTAATTTTGCAAGAGAAAACTAAATGAGGTTTCATTGACAAGGGATTTACCATGTATCAACTTTAGATCCGCATGTCGCCATTTCATGTTCCTCCTTGTACATTGATTCTGTTTCTCTATCTTACAAAGTTATGGCTATCTATACTAATAAGCTGATACGTCGAAGCTTGTTAATCATGTTTTTTCCTTCATATAAATGGTAAAAATTGTCCTTTTAGTCCAAGGGGTCTAAAGTTGTCAATCGCGCCTTCATATTTTGTAACTATTGTTCATATCCTTTGCTTGCTTCTGACAGTTGTAACTTCCAAATTTCCTTACAGTTGTTTGATGGCCATAATGGATCCGCAGCTGCTATATATTCCAAAGAGAATCTATTGAACAATGTATTAAGTGCTATTCCTCCAGATCTTAGCAGTGATGAGTGGGTCTCGGCACTGCCTCGGGCTTTGGTGGCAGGGTTTGTGAAAACAGATAAAGATTTTCAGGAGAGAGGTATGAACTGCTACTAGAACCATTCATCCCGAATCAAGTTCTGATGGCATTTGTTGAGCTATTTTGTCTTGTTTGTTTGCATTATGCTTTTGATTTTCACTGCATCTAAACTAGTGACATAAATAATTTCAATTGTTTTGGAAACAATGCATGACAAAGTCGATCCTTACCTTATTCTAGTATGGAGAATCGGATATCTGGTGATAGCTAGTGATAGTTACCTTATCGATTTGGAATTTGTAATTGGGTTAACTTAGTGTTTGTTTGTTTGTTTGTTTGTTTTATTTTATTTTATTTTATTTTATTTATTTTTTTATTTATTTTTTATAATATTATGCGAAGACAGGAATCTGTTCAAATGAATGGACGTTTTTGGCACCTATTAGCATTTTCAACTAAAATGATGTTGAAGTCTGCCTTTCGTTTTTACCATGTTGAAAACATGATAACATTGAATCTGGGAGTGTTTGTAGTATTTCTTAGTGCTTATCTGAAATTTCCCGACAATTTGTAGTAAGCTGAGGTTCTTTTGTTCTTAAACTGCAAAATTGTTGTAGTTTTATGAGATCTAACTACGACATGGCCCACATGGGCGATTCCAGGTGTAGTTTTCTAGTAATTAGTCTTTCTGCTGTTACATTAAATGTTATTTGGACTTGCTGCTTTCATCGCATTAAACTGCATACTTTGTTATCTCTCCTTCTCTTGTATGCATATTTCTATACACTTACTGATTTGGTGTTGTATCAGCAAAAACTTCGGGAACAACTGTGACTTTTGTAATAATCGAAGGATGGATCATAACAGTTGCATCAGTTGGTGATTCTCGTGCCGTACTTGAATCTGCTGAGGGGGGTATATATTACCTGTCAGCAGATCATAGACTTGAATGCAGTGAAGAAGAGTTAGTAGTTTTT